TAAGTGCATTTTTGTTCCAAAATTAGTTTCGTTTGTTTCACAAATGTCGTAAAAATAAATTTCAATATTTCAAAACAACAGATGACGCCAATAATCGTAAGTTAAAACAATATAAGCAACGTCCGAATTTCCTCAATAATTGGGGATCAAATTTTCATAATATTTACGTTACCATAGCAACACTGCATAGTTGCCTTCCCGTGAGCGCATAGAGAATTATCCACCATGAGCTTTGTATATAACTGGGATTATAATTTTGCAAGTCGCACAACAAGTTTATTTTACTATACAAAGCAAGCCAATGCTGCATTGTTCGAACATGATCGGTGAATATTTTGGTTAATTTTACTAGTAATATTATGTTGCCGAACTAATTTCTAAAAATTACCGTTGAAATAAATATAGCATTTGGTGTATCCGGAAAAAACAACTCTTGTAATAGTTCAACTAAACTGAAAATTTCTTCAACTACAATTTTTTCATCATTTCTGTTCAAACCAAATCCGAAAAAATTGATTATATCCGACATTCAGGGCTTCGAATTGATATTTGTGCACACTTTTACATTTGAAAAAAATGTTTTGTTTAAATTTTCTTAGAACTACAGCGTGGCACTTATAAGTTAAGAATGCTATGCGTAACGTAAATCGCAAAGTAAATTCAAATACGTTGACCATACCAGCGTATTCAGACCTTTGAACAAATATATGACGTCATATTAATACATTTAAGTTACACCCAGAATGTAATTTAATAAATTTCTTCTGAAGTGTGAAGAGGATAGGCCAATGTTTGATCTGTTTAGCGTTTGTATTTGGCATGATATCTTTTTCATGTCAAATGAATCCAAATGAATTCATTTATATTGAAATAATTGAAAGTTATAATTCGATTATAAAATTCAATTTCTTTTTGTGGCAAGTTGTTATAGGTTAGGGGTGTGCAAAAGGCGGCCCGCGGGCCACAACCCAGCCTCCCAAGCCATTTAGTGTGGCCCTTGTCAACACTAAGATTTTTCCCTATCAAGCATAAAATTCGAATCCGACAGTTTGTTTGAAAAAGAGCTCTAATATATATAAAAATAAATAGGGTTTTGTTGCTCTGGTCACTGTGTTAAATCTCCGCCTGTAAGGATTTTCAGTCCTCTGTAGGGCGGTTTTTTGCCTTTCCCGCTGAATTTTTTGTGTGGCCAAGCTAGATGTTAGAATTTGGTTATATGGTCGAATAACAAAAAAACGTTGCACTTCTCTGTTATAGGATAATCCCAATTGTTTGTATAAAGCAACATGAGACCTATAAAATGCCCTCAAGTATATACACAAAAAAGCGAATAAATATATAGCGTGAAAGTTATGAATGAATCAATTCCGAATAGCCAAACATAGATGTATTCTTTATAAACATACGTCAAATATGTAACAGATATTATTACACAATATACGACAGCTTATTCATAACAGAGTATGCCAAACTGAAAGAAGTTCCGGCTGAATTAAGCTGAGCTAAATTGAACGCTTGATGGAACGTTTTCTTAAAACAACAAATTTGATTCTGAGTATAACAAAAATTACAAAATAAGATAAAATGCGCAAACTATTTGCTCACGTACATTTCCTTTTGTGTCTGGACGCCAGTTACAAGTAATTGATTTATTTGAAATTGATAGAATACTTTACAAATTTTTACACTGTTCCTTGGGCTGGTTTGACAGCCTTTAAAAACCAGGGAAGCGTATCCGGGTGGAACAATGGAAAAATATTCAGTAAGATCACTATCATTTAGCTGTACCTGTAATTTGGTAAACGTTATTGATACACATCTAATTGTTCCAGTTTCGTTTATTATTACGGCCATATGTCGAAATTTGACAAAAATATGGAAGACCGCTTCTCCAACCCTGAGCTATAGAATTAAAATGAACGTTCAAATTATTTAACGCAATTTCATTATAGTCATGGCACAATAACGAGGGATTTGTTTTTCACATCCGAAAAGACATGCGTGACAAGTCTCACCAATGATTTCGAGAATCGTTAAAAATATGTTATGATTACGACAGAGTTGGGTAAAGGTAACCGATAATTATATACGTGTAAGGGGGTTTCATAAATAGCAGATTACATGAAAGTGAGGACGAATATTTAGCGCTCCAGAAGTGTGTGTACCAATATAGATTACTAATTTTGTTCACCTATTTTACATCATGTTGTGTAAAGGGACTCAAGCCTATGGTTAGGGGATATTTTCACTTGGCTAACACAGACAGTCCACGAACTCGTAAACTAGAATAAGGAAAAATCGGAAACATAACGTATTGCATTTGTAAGTATAAGATGTTTAGGGTTCTATTTGGAGTGAAATACCGAGCCTAGCTTATATTAAGGACCTAAATTTTTAGAGTTCAGATCAGATAAGGATATAAATAAATAAACCCGCGATGAAAATTCTCCTCGTTTACATTCAATAAGTAGTGAATGGTGGTTTGTCAGACATTTCAATTAGAATAAAACATTTCAGGGGAATTAACATTTCGTTTGTTAGATATATATTACCCTCTAGTTAACGTGAAGGACAAAATATATTTTTCTTAGAATAACAAGGACAAAATTGACGGCACTCCAGAAGTACGTGTACCAATATAGCGGTAACTAATTTTGTTCGCCTATTTTATATCAAGTCGTGTTAAGGGCGGAAGCCTATGGACAGGGGATATATTCACTTGGCTAAGAGAGACAGTCCCCGAACTCGTAATAGAACCAAAATAAAGAAAATCGGAATAAAATTATGGCCTGACCCTAACCTAATTGTTCCGATTGTTAACTTCACACAATTATGTAAATACAGAATAATAAATTAATCTACAATTCAACTTGATCTATTGAAAGCGTAACAACCATTTCTAACCAACTTTAAAGTGGTAATATAGATAGAATTATTTAAAATGGTTCTGTGTGTTCAATTCTTTCGAGTGCTAAGTTTACAGAACTATGTAATTACAAAATAATGAGTTAATTAATCATTTAACTTGATCTATTGAGAGCGTAACCACTATTTCTAACCAATTTTTTAAGTGATAATATGGTTAGAAATATTTTAATTTAAAGCGATTTGTGACGCATCATTTTGAGTGCCGAATGCACAAAAAAATATGTAAATAAATGCACAATACAGTTGGGTTAAGATAGATCACCGCAAGGCGCTCCAGAAGTGTGTGTACTGTGTACCAATATGAAGGTAACTAATTTTGTTTGCCTACTTTATCAAGTTGTGTAAGGGACTGAAACCTATGAGCAGAGGTATACTCACTTGGCTAACACAGACAGTCCCTGAACTCGCAATAGAACTAAAATAAGGAAATTCGGAAAACAAATATGGCCCCACCCTAACCTAATACACACACTACAGAAGTACCAATCACAGTACTCACGGAGAGTGTAAAAAAGTGTAATTTCACGGGTTACTGATATAAAACTGGACAAAGATTAAAAAAAAAACAATGTGAAAGGTACTGAATGTGACGTGTAGGTGAGAGTTCTGACGTACTTAAATATTTTTTGTGATATGTTTATCGGTTATATAAAAGCTGCAATTTTGCTCAATGTATGCCTGAAAAAATCTGTAAAGGACAGAAGCCTATGGGCAGGGGGTATATTGACTTGGCTTGGCTAACACAGACAGTCACCGAACTCGTAATAGAACTAAAATAAAGAAAATCGAAATAAAATTATGGCCTAGCCCTAACCTGATTGTTAACTTCACAAATTATGTAAATACAAAATAATAGCTTAATCTATAATTCAGCTTTATATATTGGAAGCTCTACCACCATTTCTAACCAACTTTTGAAGTGATAATATGAGTAGAATTTTTTCAATTTAAAATGGCTGTGTGTCCAATTCTTTTGAGTGCCAAATTTACAGAAATATGTAAATACAGAATAATAAATTAATGTACAATTTAACTTGATCTATTGAAAGCGTAACCAAGAATTCTTTAACCAACTTTTAAAGTAATAATATAGGTAGAATTATTTTAATTGAAAATGACTTGCGTCGGGTCATTTTGAGTGTCAAATCAACAGAACAATAAATAAATGTACAATACAACTGGGTTAAGATAGAAAGTCGCTCCAGAAGTATGTATACCAATATGGAGGTAACTAATTTTGTTCGCATACTTTACATCAAGTTGTGTAAAGGGACAGAAACCTATGGGTGGAAAATTGGAATAAAATTATGGCCTGAAACCTGGTACACACACTACGGGAATACCGACCACAGCACCCACGAAACGTGTAAAAAATATAATTCCACGAGTTACTGATCTAGAACAGAATAAAATGAAAACAATTAGGTGGAAGGTACCGTGACGTGTGTGGGAGTTCTGACGTATTTAAATATTTTTTCGTGGTATGTTGATCGATTATATAAAGCTACAATTTCGCCTTATATATGTCTAGGGAAATCTGTCCTTGGTCAGACGAAACGTTGCAGAAATATTTTGTGTTAGTGTAAAAAGAAATTGTGTAAATGTGCAGTAAGATTGCTAAATCCCTTAGGATAGTTATCTTTATCTTTGCATCATATGCATACAAATTGAGAAAGATTGGTAGATAGTCCCGCAGAAAAGCGAATCGATAGAATATGTCAAATACGCTCCATTCTCAATGAAAATACGACTTTTTCTACGTTACAAATTCTCGTTTTGTAAATCATGGCAGTTAATTTAATTCAATTAATAATTTAATTATTTTGTGTTAGTGTGAAAAAAATTGTGTTAGTGTGCAGCAAGATTCTTGTATCACTTAGGGTAAATATCTTTACTCTTGCTTCAGCATCCTCGCAATATACGCGTACGGATTGAGATGGATAGTCCTGCAGGAGCCGAATCAACAGAATATGTCAAATGCTCCATTCTCAATGGATCTACGACTTTTTCTACGCTAACAAATTCTTACTTTGTATATCATGGCAGTTAATTTATTCGTTTATTCTTTCAGATTCAGAATTAATTTTTCGAATTACTTCAGTAAGCTTCCTAAAATGAGAGAAATCATCTTAATTATCATATTTGCTGGGTGTCTCTCCACAACATATGGATTATCATGTATGCCATGCAGCAATAGAACATGTGAAACCCCAAGCTGTAACAGCAGCGGATATGCTCTCGGTATTTGTGCGTAAGTATAAAATTATTTAGTTAGAGAAAATGAAGTAATAGAATATAATGATGAAAAATAAACTTTTTTGTGCAAAATGCATAGTCTAGGAAAGACAATGAGCAACAATAAAATATAAAGTTGAAAAATAAATTTTATTGTGCAAAATGTATAGACATAAGACAATGAGCAACATTAAAATATAAAGTAAAAAAATAAACTTTATGTGCAAAAAGTATAGACATAAGACAATGAGCAACATTAAAATATTAAGTTAAAAAATAAACTTTATGTGCAAAAAGGATGGACATAGGACAATGAGCAACATTAAAATAGAAAGTTAAAAAATAAATTTTATGTGCAAAAAGTATAGACATAAGACAATGAGCAACATTAAAATATTAAGTTAAAAAATAAACTTTATGTGCAAAAAGGATGGACATAGGACAATGAGCAACATTAAAATATGAAGTTAAAATATAAACTTTATGTGCAAAAAGGATGGACATAGGACAATGAGCAACATTAAAATATTAAGTTAAAAAATAAAATTTATGTGCAAAAAGGATGGACATAGGACAATGAGCAACATTAAAATATAAAGTTAAAAAATAAACTTTATGTGCAAAAAGTATAGACATAAGACAATGAGCAACATTAAAATATTAAGTTAAAAAATAAACTTTATGTGCAAAAAGGATGGACATAGGACAATGAGCAACATTAAAATATGAAGTTAAAAAATAAACTTTATGTGCAAAAAGGATGGACATAGGACAATGAGCAACATTAAAATATGAAGTTAAAATATAAACTTTATATGCAAAAAGGATGGACATAGGACAATGAGCAACATTAAAATATAAAGTTAAAAAATGAACTTTATGTGCAAAAAGTATGGACATGGAACGATGAGCAACATTAAAATATAAAGTTAAAAAATAAATTTTATGTGCAAAAAGTATAGACATAAGACAATGATTAACATTAAAATATGAAGTTGCATACAGTTATTTTGTATTAATTGCGCAGCTATAATCTATTACAGGGCTTCTCTACTGGCGGTAAATTAGACCTGCCTTAGCGTAATTTTTGATACAATAAATTATCATATTTATTACTTACTCGAATAGAGAGGTCTCATTGATTGAAAAGTCTCTATTTACCTCAATTTTTTTAGAGTTATAATATAGGTGAGTGAACTCAACGCACCAATTAGGTGTTCATTTTCAAAGTTCTTTTCGAACGTTTTTTCACCCAGGGGCCCTCTGAATCAGTATAGGCATTTGTAGAAGGTAAAATTTAAAAAAAAATGAAAAGGGCGTCCTTTTTACTTTTGAAACTTCTGAAGACTGAATGAAAAATAGAAAAAGATGTACAACCTCTGTTTTAGGCTATTCATTGAGGATAACATTGCGTGTGCGCAACTATTGACTTATAGAGCATAGTATTGAATGTGTCCCGAGCATGACCCATAGAAGCTTCTTGCCTGATTAACTTATTCTTGATATGTTTGATAGACTTGTTGGTAGATATTTTTCTACATTTCGGAATTTAACTTAACAAAACCGTGTCCATTGTGAATTAAATATTCAAATGGAATAGTAAATTATTCGATTAAGTTCTGACGAAAATTTTGAATCGATGCCTTCTTGTTTTTTTTTGTCCGCCAAAGCTCGAGATGAATCTTTCAATTTTATTTTCGCGAAGCTATCTCCCATCGAGACGTTTCAATTCCACTTTTTCTCTCAGTTCTCTCTGCAGCTAAAGATGAGCGTGGCGTGTTATTCGTATATGTTACAACTGACTTTGTCTTCACCATGGAATGACAAGAAATCTCACATGTATTTACACATTCCTTTAGTTGCTGTGATGTATGTGCGAAACCATACAATGCATCCTGTGGTGGAATCTGGAACCTTGAGGGAACATGTGACAAAAATTTAACATGCTATCACACCGCCGAACAACTGATAGAACCATATTTTGCCGAGGGGTCATGTGTTGGTAAGTTCAGTATTTGGAATAATTTTTAAGGCGTTTTTTTAACGGTTTTTACGGAGAAGGGTTTGTACAATCAGCCCCTAATTTAGAAAAATCTTCTAACGATTTAGAAAAGACTGTCTGTTCCCGTTTCAGCATTGCACTCTCAATTTATTGCACTCAAGGCGGAGTGATAGACATAAGTTTCACCGTAGTTTCGTAACATGTTACCATTATTTATACCCGCACATGACGTGTTTCAAACAAATTGTATTTTATTTAGGTTTTACGTCCTAAATTTTCAACAAGGTAGCGAAATTCGACAGACACAAATATTGCAATTTGTTCAATGATACTGTTGAATTCACATAATTTGATGTTAAATAAATAGTGTTTTTTTATAGCGTAAACTCGTTTAGCCTCGAGTTTTTGGTAATGGTGCCGTCGGTAGAATATTTTAGGCGAGTTAATTAAATCCCACCAGAGTGAGGGCTCGGTTATTATTTGAGAGGGGTATTTGTGAATAGAGGTATGCATATAAATAAATTAAATTCTACTGTTCGTAAGTGAAATGCAACAAATGCGAAATGCAAATAAATTATTTTTTCCAATTTGATAATAAAAATTGATAATTTATAATGGATGTTGGTATAAATTTTGAGGCAATGGTGTAATTCTTTCATTATTGATTGCATTTGAGTCGAGTTTTATTATTTTCAATCTTCAATGTTTCTCCAGACTCGCATTGTAGAGCTATTATCGATGTTATTTGGGCAATGGACGGCTCAGAATCGATGGAGGAAAAAAATTTCAAAACTTTAAAGAAATTTCTACAAAATGCTACAATGGAAATTTATGACAAGTTCGGAGCTTGCGCACATGTGGAGATTTTACAGTATTCGAACAAAGATTCTGTTGTGGCATCGTAAGAGTTATGGTTATTTAAATACTGTATACACATAACAAATTTCAATGCTCATTGCTCACGAAGTATGTGAACCAAGATGGCGGACACCGGAACGTAGTATGTGTACCAAGTTAGAGTTAGGCCATAATTTCAGGTACAAATACTACGGGAATCACTGGGCAAGTGCCCAAACTTGTAATAAAACCAAAATATTGAAAATTGGAATAAAATTTTGGCCTAACCCTAACCTCGTACACATTTTACGTTCCGGTGCCCGCTATCTTGGTTCACATACTTCTGGAGCACCCAAATTTCCCAAAAATAAGATTAAGAAATTTGAAAAAATGTAAAAAGATTGTGACACTTTATATCACGATATCATAGTAACAACTGAATATTCAAATGAAATAAAGTTTGAACTATCTAGTGTTTTACTGTATACAGAAGCTTGCTTCAAAATAGTCTTTATTAAAGTAAACATATCTTTAAAAGTGTTATCCTCACACATGGGCGCAATAAGCTACAATAAAATCTAATAGTTTTTTTTACGTTCGTTAGCATTCCAATTGAAGATTCCGAGCTATTTCAAATACCGTTTTCTCTTGGTGAATGCGTTAATAACGTGGATTGCATACAGCGAAGGTTGGACGAGATGGAACAACTTGGCGGACAGACGTTTACATATTACGCACTACGGAGGATTCGTGAGGTGATGTGAACAACTAGCATTCGAATGTTCCGCCCGGGTACATCCAATCATAGCTAATGAAGTATTTAGTAACAAGAGGTTTACAACCGGGGTTTAGTCAGCTAGGTCTGACATGGGCAAACTACGACTCGCGTGCCAAATTCGGCCTGTTGGGTAATTCAATCTGGCCCGTCTGATGCTACTACAACCAAACTAAAACCAAATTTTATGTTTTAGTTAAAAATAGCTCAAGGAATTTGTTGAGATTGCAATTAAATTCAATTTCGGCACGATTATTCCAACTTATCGGCTTTCTTTTCTCAAAAGATAAATATTATTCTATGCCATAGTATTAATAATCGTGTCCGGAAAATTCGCCGCAGGAAATGGAAAATTCGCCGCAAGAGCGTTGTGCTATGAAACAAGTATTTTGATAGCATGAAAAATTGCCGCAAGCGCATTTTGCTGTAAAACAAGGGTTAGGGTATGCTCTTAAATAACAAATGTTTTTTAAATAAGAAGGCACTTCAAAAACCTATAAAATGCTCTTGTAGCGATTTTTCCTATGCGGCGAAATTTCCTGCTGCGAGATTTCCTACGGCGAAATTTCCTGCGACGAATTTTCTTGGAACCCTAAATAATGTGTAGGGCTGACCGACAAGTATCAATATTTTTGCATTTTATAACATTGGTAGGGCAATTCATCATCACGCACTCGTATTCCGAGAGCATTATAAATCAAGCACGAATAAAAAGACTTGTTAATAACAAACATTAATTAGTAAAATATTTCTAATTAACAGGTCGAGTTAAAGAAATCATCCCGAGCTGAAAGATCGAAAAAAATTGTCATTGTAGTCACAGACGGGGAGGCTAGTGACGGGGCGTCTCTGTTAGAATGGTAATTCATATGCATGTCAAAATTTAGTTATTTCAACAACCTATCATTACAGTAGTGTAGTCTTGTTTTTATCTTCATTTAAATTTGTCGTGAACAATGTCGATAAGGAAGGATCGACAAAATTTTCCGCGATCCCAGTTAAGTCGGCATTGTTATACACGCACGCCGCCTCTCTGATCGCAATATATTTTTTCGAGGGCTGGGCATTTTGAATTGAATGTCCAAATTTAATAGTTAAATATTCGAATAGGATCAGGCAGAAATTTCCGATCGCCGCCATCTTGTTTTTTATTTGGCCGCACAAGGTCGAGGTGAATTTATTGAAGCCGTAATTTTAGAATGGGATTCCGGCATATAACTCTATTCTCTATAATGAGTTATTGATGAAACATGTTTCTTATTATGTTTAAACACCCAGCTAACTGTCTAAGTCATAGATCTCATGTTTTCAGTAACTTTTGTGCATGGAGGACCTATCACAATAAAAAAAGTCAGATGCAATTGAATATCTTTCAAGTATTCGAGATTCGATTTGATTAAAAAAAAATATTCGACTCGATACGGGAATCAACAGGTATTAGAAAATGTCCAGCCCTAGTTACGAATAAACCAAGGGCGTATCCAGGGGGTGGTTTTGGGGACCCCCCCCCCCCCCCAAAAAAAAAAAAAAAAAAAAACACTATTTTTGTTCGCCTGCGTTACAAGTTGGTTGTGTAAAGGAACTGAAACCTATGGGCAGAAGGTTTATTTACCTGGCTAACACAGAGAGTCCCCGGACGCGTAATAGAACTAAATAAGGAAAATCGGAATCGGCCTAATGTTATAACCTGTTAAGCACCACTATACGAGAGTTCCGAATTTTCAATTTTGCGATCAACCGTAAGTACGAATATTTCTGTTTTCACGAATAAGATTCATAAAATACAGCTAATTTTCAAATAATTTGCGAAGGTATAAGCAAGCAATACTGGATGGAATAATACCATTTGCAATTGGCATTGGAGAATTTGATCCCGAACAACTCCAGACTGTTGCCAATGGGGGAAAGAGCAATGAACGAGTGTTCAGTATCGATTCACTTTCAAATCTCAATATTTCAAAAATTGGAGAAGTTCTCGTAAATGGAATTTGGAATGAAACAGTTCACGAGAATAGTAAGTATATTAATAGCTGATTTTACGGGTTTAAGTTTAATGGGTAATCCCGTAGTATGTGTACCTGGTTAGGTAATAGGCCAGGGTGGTCCAAACCCAGGCCCGCGGGCCACATGTGGCCCGCCACTTCATTATCTTTGGCCCTGCGTGGCTTTCGGAGAGGAATCAAAAAATCGCGTTTCGTGTTGTTTCGTCATAAAATTAACCAAAAAATCTTTTGACAAATAGTTGCATTACTCATGTCACTGAATTGACCAGTGTTATGGCTTGCTGAGGAAACTAGCGAAGTTAAACGGGCAAAGTTCTTGGCACTATGGCCCGCGAACAATGCAAAAGTAATTTTGTGGCCCGCGGAGCTGCCAATCTTGGACCACCCTGGATTAGGCCATAATTTTATTTTGATTTTCCTTATTTTAGTTCTATTACAAGTTCGGGGACTGTCTGTGTTGGCCAAGTGAATATAGCCTACCCCCTGCTCATAGGCTACCGTCCTTTTATACAACTTGAAGTAAAGTAGGCGAACAGAATTAGTTACCTCTATATTGGTACACATACTTCTTGAGCGCCGTTTTATGTTTATGGTCATGCACATGGGTATAATCTGAATTTTATGATTTGTAATTTGTTTTGTTTATATGACTGACTGGTAAGAGACTTGAACCGGTTTGAATAGTTCTACCTCATTGAAATGCCTACAATTATTTGCTTTATTCTGGAAATTTGCATTATGTTAACATAATTGCTCGTGGATCTTATAACACTATAAGCTCGTGATTCACCTTTGCATCGACCTGTTATATTGGAATGCTAGAAATAACTATTTTTAAGTGATCAAAATGTTCATGGTTTGAAATGCAGCCTATCCAGTTTCTAAAAGCCTGGTGAAGTGATGGGCATGGGATTTGAATCCGAAAATTTTAATCATCATGAATGAGTTCATTACCCTTCTCAATTCTGTACACAAAACATTTTTCAATACAGTGTTACATTTTGAGTGTTTTTACAACCAAAATAATTATTTCGTAGCAAACTAGGTAATTTAAAAACATCAAACATAAGAGCTCCATAAATAGCCTTTGCTAGAACGTAACTTTGAGAAAAAAATTTGATCAATTTACTAGACGAAAAATGTCAATAATTTGAATCCAAAATTGCCAAAATTCTTGCACCGTCAAGAGCAATATTAAAAGTTACAAACAGTAATAGGTTACTCATCTTGAGAAAACATCACAAACCTGTGTGAAAAGGAAGGCACTTGGAAGCATATAATGGAAAATAAGTCAATAATTTAAATCCTTTTTTACAGTAACATGCGCTTACCCGGAAGTGTACTCACCGTGTACAAATCCTGATTGCGACAACACATGTGAGAATCCTTTCGGCAAATGCGTCGCTGATTGCAAAGGAGTAGGGTGTGTATGTGCGGAAGGATATGTGAGAATGGGAGGTGAAAACCAAACGTGTGTTAAATATGGAGATTGTCGTAAGTAACTCTTATTTTATAGAACGCGAGGTGTGGTCTACTTATAGATTGGCAGGCTGCGTTGTTGGTTTTGGTCGTTATGATGTGAGAAAATCGCTTTCCGACGGCAATTCACGGACAGGCACTGATAGTATCAGTATCAAAATTGATCAGAACTGAAGGATTGTAGTCTCAAGTAGAATAGAACTTTTATTTTCAATTTTCTAAGGATCCCATGGAATCGTTGTTTTACTTCAAATTCAGCTTATTATTTTACTGCAAAATTGTTCTTGTTTTTGTTTTTATCGTTTTGTTGTGAAAAAATTACTTTTTGCCGAAACTCAGAAACTGACGACATGATCAGTACTAAAGATTTGCAAAATTTTAGAAGAATATATCCGTTTCTTTTAATCTTGTTCCATTTTTCTATGAGACCTCTGTCTCGACATTACACCAAAATTAGCTGTTCATAATAGTGTGATTGTGGTGCAAGGCAATTTGATTTTTATATTCTTTATTTATGTGTATATTTGTTTCGAGCATGAGCGTAAGTATGTGTATGTGCTGTCGGACTAATACATTTCAGCGATAAGCAACATTTGGGTCTCATGTAGTTTCTTACCTGAATAACTTCTAGTGGGCGTGGCGTAACAGTTATGGCTGACCGTCGCCATACTTTGGCAATCTCTATTTCGGGATTGTGACGTCGCAGTGACGTAATATTTGGTAGTAGTCAGGAATGATATATGCAAAAATTGTTGCATTGTTACGCCACGCCCTCTAGAAGTTATTCACGTAAGAACCAACATGAGACCCGAATATTTTAACAAGATAGCATATTAAATGCACAGGTAGGGTTTTCTTATCTCTATTGATTCTCAACCCGCGTGTAAATTCTTTTCTAGCCTCATGCCCCTATCCACAAGTCTACAAGACATGTACATCTAATTGTCCCCCGACTTGCGAAACTCCGAATCCCTTCTGCATCCAATCTTGCGCACCTGCTGGCTGTGTGTGTGCGGAAGGATATGTGCAAAAGAGCGACAATGATACAACATGTGTGAGACAGGAGGATTGTAAAAGTGAGAATAGAGCAAATTTTGAATATTTCATCATTTCTTATTTAAGTTACATTTTACTAATTACTAAGATCTTCAAATGGTTTAAATTCTCATTTTCTTAATATTACAAAATAATTATTTTAAGAACTTATCAATTAATGCGAAAACAATTGATAAATCATAATTTTGATTTGAAAGAGATATCAAAATAATAATAATAAAAGCATTCTCAATTATGGAAATATCAGCATTAACATTATTGTCAGTGTTCAACCAAAATCAAAATGTGTACCATGATGAGCTTTGAAACTACATTTGTTAATTTTAAACATTCAACCTAATCATTGAGAAGACAATTTGAACGCATGAAAAAATTTAATGACATAACTTACCAAAATTTTCTTTCAGTGTCATGCGTCGATCCATTTGTCGAAAACTCTTGTCCATCATATTGTCCCGCAACATGCGACGATCCGAACCCCACTTGCATACAAGTTTGCGCACCCCCAGCTTGCACCTGCCCAAAAGGTTACTTACTATCAAAAAGCGACAATGGTACAACCTGTGTGCTGCCGGAGAACTGTCCAGGTAAGAAACATAAAATATTGAGTATATTTTTACGTCTGCGTGGGTTCGCCGGCTCGAATACCGTGGGTGATAATTATGTGCGACAGGATTGCTTGACTCCTCGCCGTCGTAGGGTTGTTCACGTAAACGCTGGTCGCTTACGGATTCGCCCACCATCTCGAATTACGAATTACGAACGAATTACAGGCTGACCCGATATAGCCGGACGAGGACCATAGTTCGTCATATGATTAAGTCGACTTTCCTCTCCCCGGAACAATATGTAAATATTATTTTGTGTTTTTAATGATCTGAAGTATTGTTATTACTTCATTCTACTAAAACTACTAATTGTAAAAATCAAGCATTACCACGAAAAAATAAGAACAAGGCGACTCAATTTGGGGCATCAAATAAATATTGAAATACAGTAATAACAAAAAACATTTAAATGGGTGAAACGCACTTCTTAAACTGTAAGAATATGCTTTAATGTCTTGATAGTGAATGTCGCCATTTGCAGACAAGTAAATTTTTGAACTAACAAAATCATAAATCAGTTTTGGTCATTATCTAAAAAAAAGTTAAACAGGTTAAATATAACGATAGTTTCTGGAATACGAGTGGTCATCACCGCTCACTTGCGTGGAATTAACTAATGGCGCCGTGTAATAATGTTAATTCTTATATGTTGTCGAAAAATTGCACATAAACATTCTTTTGCGTGTCGTGACGCTTGTGTTACATTCAATCATCATAGCTGAATTTCCATACATTAATGTAATGTACACATCAATATTATAGCTATTTATGACTATAAATTATCAAGTCATCAAAGTACCGGTTATAGCATGCCATCAAAAGAACATTTTATATGTTTGGATGGTTGTTGGATAGCTTTATAGAAAAAAAGAGAAAATATCTGCAATCCTAAAGACTACTAAACGTTTATCTCGGTGCTTTTTATCCGACTTTTTTAGTATATTTCGTATATTTCAGCTCAGAAGAAAGCATTGCTTGAGATAATCTTTGTAATCGATGGATCAGGATCGATCGGAGAATCAAACTTTGCAATTGTGAAGGAATGGCTTGTCAACCAAACAGTAAACATATATGAAGCTTTTGGAAACTCTGCACGTGTTGAAGTATTACAATATTCAAACAAAGACAATACCTGGGACGGGTAATATGTGAATTTACTATATATATATACTATTATATATCGGATAACATCACTTTGGTGTAATAATATAATGCAATTAAAACCTCGTAATCAGTTGATTTATCAAATAATTTATGACAAATTTAAAATACCTTAATAAATAATAATAAAGGATAATCTTTGATCAATTTTAATATCACTAATTTTGTATAACGTTTGCTTTAGTTCTAATTCAATTTGTATAAGTCTATGACAATTATTCCTAGGGTTTCGATTGGAGATTCAAAGAAGTTTGTTATTCCGTTTGTGCTGGGTGATTGCGTGAATAATGCATCCTGTTTCACACCATTGATTATGAACATGCCATACTTGAATGGGGCAACTTATACTTACTATGCACTACGAAGAGTAATGGAGGTGAGATGGGTTGTTTAATAGAAGAATAAAATGTAAGAAAAAAACGCTGATGTTTCTTATATCAATTAGTATCGAGGACGATTTTATTGTTGCCGGAGATTAGTGGATGTATGGTTGTAACTATATTAATTTAAAGTATTTACATCGCTATATTAATATTTCACCAATTTCAAATTTTCCAGATGCTTGCAACCACTTTACACTGGTTTTATTCAATTTTATATTTGTTATTTGTTCATAGACAGTGTTTGAACCATCGTATAGCGTTCTTTTGGAAATTTTTGTGACATCAATTGTTTTTGACATTTTAGCCTCAATGATACGCGTTGTTTTCGACATCAAAACTCACTTTACGAGCTGTTCATTTATTCATTCCTCAGCTATGTTCCGGAAATCACTATGTGTATTTATTTATATGCAGGTGGAATTTCCAAAATCTCCAAGCTACGCAACATCCACGAAAGCAGTTATCGTTATAACTGATGGCGAAGCTAATGACAGTGCTTTCCTTCGTGGCTGGTATGTTACATAGTTGCTGATTGATACTTTGTAAACTAGTGCTGACATAAATTAATGATAATGTTATATTATATCATTCCTATTACTGGTGAACAAATGTGCATTGAACATCTGCCCCAAATTATTGACTTTCTATTTTAACTTTTTGTTTTTGCATAACCTCGGAGAACTGAGTTTGAGTCTTGCCAGCTTTGTTTTTTACCATGTTCTAAAAGAACGTTTCTTAAAGATATACACAACTTTTAACCCTTGATAAATTCGTATTGGATGGCAAAATGGGTAGTAAAATAAAAAATATGTCCGAGTTGAGAAATTTACCAAAGAGTTCAAAATGACATAATACCATATGTTTGCTACTGCGTTAACCACAAATCCATTTTTTATTTTTAAGGCATGATAAATACAAACATATGTTAAACACGATTGCAATAGGAATTGGACAATACGAAAAGTTTTTGAACCAATTGCAAGATATTGCAAACGGTGGCACGGGAAATGACAGAGTATTTACCTATGCGGATTTCGGTGCACTGCGTGAAAGTTCTTCCGATATTATCACTGCTCTCATCAATTCAACATGTACGTCATTAACTGATGCAATACTATACAATCTTTACAAAGCACTTCTCAACACAGTGTTCCATTTTGAGTGTTTTTGCAATTAAACTAAGTGTTACGTAGCAAACTAGGTTATTTTGAAACATCAAACATAATAGCTGCCTGTAGGGTACTACCGTAGTTTGTGTACCAGGTTACTGTTGGGCCATAATTTCAGGTACAGATTTTAGGTACGGGAGTCACGTGGATAGTCACTGAACTCGTAATAGAACTAAAATAATAAAAATTGGAATAAAATTATGTCCGAACCCTAACCTGGTACACATTCTACCTTCCGGTGTCCGCCATCTTGGTTCACACACTACGGGAGCGCAAGAAAAGGTAATGACATAACTCATCCAAACTTTCTTTCAGCGTCATGCGACGATCCATTTGTCGGAAACTCTTGTCCCTCATATTGTCCCGCAACTTGCGACGATCCAACGCCCATCTGCATACAAGTTTGCGCACCCCCAGGTTGCACCTGCCCAAAAGGTCATTTACTATCGAAGAGCGACAATGGTACAACCTGTGTGTTGCCGGAGAACTGCCCAGGTAAGAAATATAAAATATCAGTAATATTTTTACTTCTGCGGGGGTCCGTCGGCACGAATCCCGTGGGTGGGTGGTAATTATATGTGACATGATTGCTTGACTCCTCACCGTCGTAGGTTTGTTCACGTAACCGATGGTCGCCTACGGCTTCGCCCACCATCTTGAAAACGAATTACAAGCTGACTAATATCCGATACAGCCGGACGAGTGTCATGGTTCGCCATATGATTAGGTCGGCTTTCCTATCCCCGGAATAAATATGTAAATCTTATTTTGTATTTATTTAAGGATCTGAATTTCTGAGTATTGTTAATACTTCATTCTCCTTAAACTACTAATTGTAAAAATCAAGCATTACTACAAAAAAAATGACGACTGAATTTGTGGCATAAAAAAATATTTAAATGGGTGAAACGCACATTTTATCTATTATTATTTTCTATCCGTGTTACTATTACAATTATGTTTTCATAAATCTATTTCAGAGAAGAAATGTATCTTTCCAGAGGTTCACACAAATTGTGCGTTACCATGTTTAAAGACTTGCAGTGATCCTAACCCTATTTGCCCTGAAATGTGTCTGTTGAATCAATGCGTTTGCGCTGAAGGATACATCAGGAAAAGTGCAACAAACTTAACATGTATTCTGCAGGATGAATGTCCAGGTAGGGAGCCTTATAGCTATTTTGAAAACTCATAATTGTTGTGAGATTTGTTCAGACAGGGGTGGGCAAGGTTTTTGGACACGGGGCCGTAAAATTTGCCTATTTAGACTGCAGGCCATGTAAATGTGACGTAAAAGTTATATTTTATGAACAATATTTAAAGTGAATTAAAAAAGCAAAAGTGGAAATATTAGGCCCCGTGCCAAAACTAAATTTAATCACAATTTCAACAAATTCCTTGAGCTATTATTAACTGAAACGTCAAAATTTGGTTTTAGTTTGGTTGTGGCAGCATCAGGCGGGCCAGACTGAATCACCCAACGGGCCAGATTCGACTTTTGGGCTGTAGTTTGCCCTATTTATGCGCCCTTAGCTCCGAAAAGGGTTCTGTACAAATAGTCATTGCTATTTAAGGACGTATTATAGTGCAGACGGGTTGATATCATTCCGGTTCTGCACCGCCTACTCTATTCATTACATCCTGGGCGGGGTGGTTTTCAAGTACGATAAATTTCACGTATACCGTGCAAATGAGCAAATTTGTTGGCGCTCTAGAAGTATGTGTACCAATATGGAGAGTTCGCCTACTTTACATCAAGTTGTGTAAAGGGACTGATACCTATAGGCTGGGGGTATATTCATTAAGTCAACACAAACAGTCCCCGAAGTCGTAATAGAACTAAAATGAGGAAAATCGGAATAAAATTGGGACCTAATCATAACCTGTTACAAATACTACCGGAGTACCAATCTGTTAAATTTGAAAAATTACTGAATTTCATACTTGCCATGCTGATCAATTATTCATTTTTTATATTTCAATTTTTTAACTGAACTCGAACAGAACCTTGCGAGCCCAAAAATTGTGGAATTGTTCCTCTCTGCTTTGAACCAAATTGTCCAGCATATCCATCCGCTAAATGCAAATCAAATTATTGCGATTGCACTCAATGGTACGAGGATGGATTTGGAAGACGAGTTGACTGCAACAGTAAGATTCCTATTTTTTCGAATTACTTTTTGTCCCTTTGAAACCCGTACCAGTTTTTGTTTCCTCTTGATTTTTATGCATTTGGTTCTTGATTTTTTCATTATTTCAGATTTTCATTCTCATAGACAGCAATGCACTAAAGTGGGCGTACACAACCTGCGCCCGCAGGCCAAAAGCGGCCCTCAAGAAGCAAATGTGCGGCCCGCAAAACGAGTTTTTACCTAAGTTCAATCGGTTCGTGCGAGTAATTCCAATTATGTTGCTTTACAAGGTTATACCTGAGTCCAATTTATTATCTATGCTAATGACGTTGCACGGGCCTAACAGCTAGCTAGTGCGATGCGAACAACTCATGTCATAAGTTCATTACCCAAAATGTTTGTACCTGCACGAAAGTTATATGTTATATAAAGGTGCGGCCCACGGTTTCACCCAGTTATTTTCATCTTTATTAAAGGTTGCACACCCTTGCAATAACGTGCAAACATAAAGTTTGTTCGGTACTCCCAAATATTACGGGAGTCACTTGGCTAGTCCCTGAACTCGTAATAAAACTAAAACAAAGAAAATTATGGTAAAATTGAGGCCGAACCCTAACCTGGTACACATACTATGTTTAGGTGTCCGCCATCTAGGTTTACATACTGCGGGAGCGTCGATTGTTTTCAGTTGCTATAATATGATTGAGAACGTTGCTTGACCATAGCTCGCCGAAATCTATCTAGAAAACTTTATAAGACAAAAAATTACTGTGGGATATTATGTCCGGGGAAGACAGAGAAGACTTCCAGCTTTCACTCTCAGGGCAATTAACAATATTTGCGCCCCGTGACTCACAACATCATTTTAATAAACCACTTCATTGATTCATTTTGCATTTAGTGATAGTTTAGCAATAATTACTTTCCAATTCCGGTACTCCCGTAGTATGTGTACCAGGTTAGGGTTAGGCCATAATTTTATTCCGATGTTCCTTATTTTAGTTCTATTACGAGTTCTGGGACTGTTTGTGTTAGCCAAGTGAATATACCCCCTGCTCATAGGCTTCGTTCATTTACACAACTTGATGTAAAGTAGGCGAACAAAATTAGTTACCTCAATATTAGTACACACTCTTCTGGAGCGCCCCACCTCATGGCCCTTGCAAAAATTTTCACTTTTTCACTTTTCTAGTACTCGCTCTCATTTTATTATTTTTTTTCGGCTGGTTCTTTATTTCTACGTCCCTCAACCTGCGAGTAACGAGTCAAATCGAGTCAGGGCTAACCCGAGTCCCGAATTGAGTCAATTACTGAACTAACTATATTTTACTGGAGGTTGAATTAGTACATGTCCGGGTCATTTCACATAGATCAAAGGTGTGCAACCTTACAAGAGGCAACCTTAATACCGAAGGGCCAAATACAAATATCTGGGTAAAACCACGGGCCGCACTTTTTTAACATATGCTTTCTAGTAGTTGCGACACAAAAATTGTGGGTCTTGATCGTATGAAACCTGTTGTTTGCTTCGCACAAGCTAGCCGTTGTGGCCTTGTAACGCCATAAGCATAGATAATGAATTGGACTCAGGATAGGCTTAAGTAAAGGATTTGTACTTACTAACACGTACCAGATTGAACTAAATTGAAAACTCCTTTCGCGTGACGCATAATTATCCCGTGTGGGCCGCATTTGACCCGAGGGCCGCAGGTTGCACACCCCTGACTTATATGACTCACGTCACTTCGTCTTTGATATATGGCGTCTCAAGTCCAGCCCGAGACGAGTAAATTACTTGCAGAACCACGGACTGCACTACAGTATCGTTTTTACAATAGATGGCTATTGTAATAGCCCCCAGTAAAATATCCATTTTTGTGTTGGTGGTATAAATGAGATGACCAAGTGGTTTTAACTTTGCATCGCAAGTTCCGGCATTCGCCTAAAATAGCAGTCTAATTCAAATCGGTGGATACCAGCCTCATTCGAAGTACAAAGTCGTTTAAAAAAATCCAGTGTTTTGAAATATTTTTGACCTTTTTTTTCTGCAATGCCTGCCTAAGGACGGCTATCAAATCATAACAAGCTGTTATGACTGTTTGATTCAAGAATCTTGCTGCTGAATTGCGACTGACAATCGAAAAATCCGGTCAGACAAAACGTTACAGAAATGCATCTGTGTTAGTGTGCAGCAAGACTCTTGTGAATCACGTAGTATAGTAATATTTATTCTTTCCACAGCATTCTTGTGTTTAATGCACACTTCAATAAAAGCATAGAGCAAAGATAGTTGAGCTACTATTGTTATTTGTGTATTTTCAGACAATACCTGTCAGTACCCTATGATACGTTCCGATTGCAGAAGTGCTTGTCCTACTACGTGTGAGACAGTTAATGCTGATTACCCAATCGCTTGCACTCTTCAATGCATCGTGGGTGCCTGTGTCTGTCCCAAAGGAATGGTCCTAAAGAGTTTAACTGACAGAGTATGTGTAACTCCAGGGAACTGCACAAGTAAAATATACAATATTTCTTGAACCTTCATCGACTTAATTTATTTGAATATCATTTTTAAGATACCCCTGTAGTGTGTGTACCAGGTTAGGGTTAGTCCCTAATTTTATCCCGATTTTCCTTATTTTAGTTCTATTACAAGTTCGTTGACTGTCGATGTTAGCCAAGTGAATAATCCCTGCCCATATGCTTCAGTTCATTTATTCAAATTGATGTAAAATAGGCGAACTAAATTAGTTACCTCCATATTGGTACACACACTTATGGACAACTAATTTCTAATACGCCGAAGTCACTATTTACTTTATCCGAACAAAGTATTATTTTTTAGTCTTCAAAGTTTGCCACAAAGGTGATATTCCAATATTCTGTTTTGTTTGATTTCAATGTCATACACACGGTTGTCTAAAAGGGGTATAATTACTCTACTATTCATCTGTGTTAAGTGTATCCCTTCTTTTGATCCACCCTATATAATCCCACTAACGACTTCAATTATTCAATCCCATTCTGAATGTTTTTGTGAAGAAGATTTTTATAATTATTCGTAATAAAGAATTATTTAGACATTAAACCTTTAAAACTTCTCGTCATAAATAAAGAGTAAAGTCCCAAGAATACGGGAAGAATTTCAAAACATTTATAGTTTGCTTGCTACTATATTAAAATGGTCTCATTTACCAACTTTACATTGTAATCGCGGCTGTGTTGTGTTTATTCACAAACGGGTATGTTGAAATACCCAATAACTCAGGGGTGGTCAACCTTTCACATACCATGCGCCACGTTTTAAACATAATGTTTCAGATGCGCCGTAAATCTCTTGTATTCTCACGCCTAATGTCCGCTTCTTTCTTGAAATTATATAAATTTATAATACACACACATATATACACACGTATATGTATAGTTAACTCAAAGAAAATTCTCGTATCTACCCAAAAATTCGAGCAATTTACGATAAACAGATGACGATTGATTACGAAACAGGGGACCATTGTGACGCCATGCTTCAAGTAAAAACTACAGCCTTCCTGAAAGTAGGAGCAAAACGCATTCTGCCTTATGAGCATTACGCAATAAAGCTGTTTTTAACAACGAAGAGAAAAAGGTACGATTAAGAAGCTGTTTGGCCCAGCGTCGCGTGAATTTACTCCAGGTTTCTTCGAGATTAGTACTTGCGTCACAGCAAGCGATTTTACGCTTTGCTTTTGTTTACAACGGTCATTTGAAGTTTGGATGAAAAAGGTGGTATTTCGGGGTCATTTTCAGCATGTTGTGGGTTGATTTATAATAAATTTTTTAGGCTTGGGCAATTCAACTGGTTGTTCAATGGTTATTGGGAGATATTTGGGAAGTGGGCAATGGAAAATCCATGTTTCAAGCTGATAAATGACGATTTTCTATTTTTCCAGAAGTTCTGAATTTTTTACTTCAGTAGGGAAAAAATAGTAAATTTTACTAATTTTTGCTAAAAGTCTAGAATGAATGTCATAAAGTTCGTCCGCATGCGCCATAGGTTGGCCACCCCTGCAATAACTAATGGCATCTTCTGTTGTTACAAATCTTAAAAAAAATAACAGTGTTTTTTTTATCCAGAACCTCCAACTGTCTGTCCTTATCCAAAAATGTTTCAACTTTGTCCGTCCGCATGTCCTGCAACCTGTGACAATCCCAACCCTGGTGTTTGTACCAAAAGTAACAGGCAATGCGCAGAAGACAAATGTGTTTGTCCGCCGGATCACGTGCTCTTCAGTGAAACAGATAGAAGATGCGTTCATGCTTACGAATGCCCAGGTAAGATTTTAGAACGTATTGGCACTAATTCACTCTAATCCTGATGTACGACCTTGTGTAATGCTATAGTGCTAGTGTTCTTTAAACAAATGCTATATTTTCCTTAATTTAATATTTGATAAGTAATACTATTTGAAGTTGCGTTTTAAATAATTGAAACTAAGTTATTCTGGGAAAATAATGTTAGTGATATCTTTCCTCATGGATAATATATAAACCGTTACAACCACACCTAATAGAATTTGTTCGGGCGACGTGTGCCAATAAATTGTAGTTAATCGTGATACTGATTATTTAGGAAAACAATTTCCCATCATCTACTGGGAGTATGATTTTAAATTTTCGGTAGTTAAATATGTTTCTTCAAAAGGGCTATCACTCAAAAAGATATTTATACATTATGGTCTTTTCAAAGTCCATGAATTTTTCATTGTATCTGATTTCAAATTATTGCGCAGATAATCCTATGTATGATTTCCATGAGCTCGTCTTGTAGCGCGGTTCAAACGGCGTATGCTATGAAAACGATACCTTCAAGGGCATATCTTCATTGCCCGTGAACTATTAACTAGTACTCGTAGCAATCTGAAGTGGTTGATTCGCTAATTTAAAGAACAATGTCCGTTGGATGTTTGCTGTTCGCATGAAATGGAACATATGAACAAACAACTCACTCGTGAACAGTTTTTAATTCTTCTTTCTGTGGATAATAATATAAAGGCTAAATAAACTAATAATAATGCGTGGATGTCACGCCGAATCCAACTTGTTTACACATTCGTATGTTGGAGTAGATTGACAAAACTTTGAATTTTATATTCATTGTTAATATAGAGTTATTCAGCTAAAGTTATCAGAATTAATGTCGAGGACACAGACGCAGATAAACATAAAATAACTGCATGGGTATCGTATACTACCACAGGTACTTCTAGCGTGAATGGCTCAACAATTTTTGAGTATGTGATTCCCAATGTTCGTCAAACTACGTCATTCAAAAAATTACGTCACACAGTAACGTAATAAACCATCAAAACATACTGATCGTCATCCAAAGCGTGCAGACGGTCGCTCGGAATCACACAAGCTACTATACTATACAAGAACCAGAGAATAACTTGAGCCTCGTGTAAAAGTACACACTTTGTTAGCGGGATAGATAATTCCTAATTATATATAATACTTTTATACTGACAAATTGTCGTTTAATTTAGCCCGTGACTGTATGGCCACCTGCGCTCCTTTGGATTTCACTGGCTGTTCATCAAAACTTTCTGAAGCGTGGTCTTGTCATTTGTCCAATTGGATCTGCGCTGCATATGAATGGAAGTTGTCTATGGAAGAGTGGTGGTGAGCAGAAATATTATTGAATATTAATAGTATTTGTGTTAGAAAGCAACAAACCTCGTTTTTTCGATGTTTAACCTCTTTGTTGTAAAATTTTTGATACTCATGTAGTATGCGAACCAAGATGGCGGACACTGGAACGTAGTATGTGTACCAGGTTGGAATTAGGCCATAATTTCAGGTACAAATTCTGCGGGAGTCACTTGGCTAGTCTCCAAACTCGTAATAGAAGTAAAATAAGGGAAATTGGAATAAAAATATGGCCTAATTCTAACCTGGAACACATACTACGTTCCGGTGTCCACCATCTTAGTTCGCATACTACAGGAGTACCAAATATTTGATATGAAAGTTACTTGCTCTTTGATATCGAATATTAATAGTATATATTCTTGATATAAAGATTAGTTTACATTAAACTCAGGCTCCCGGATTTCTGATTTTTCAATAATTTAGCACTTTTGCACTTTTCAATGCAATAATAATGAAAATAATTCAATACTCTTTCTGGTTTTTGACATATTTTTATAGCTATAAAAATTTATTTCATACTTTCATACTGAAGGTTTTGTGGTGTCGGCAACAAAATAAAAAATTGATCACCATGTGGCGGTTCGCAATCGCGTTGGTCAGACTACTTGTACTATCAAAGATATGATACTAGTTCGTTTTGGCCCTTGTGGGTATATACTTAATCAAAGCTTGACGGAGCATTTCAAATCCCAAATTTGAGTCAAAAACAATTCTGATTACAATGAATTTCGACTTGAACTGCAGCACCAAACTCGAAAAACCAGTTTTTCAAATAACTTTAGTTTGTGTAAGTTTCGTTAATGAACTGTTAACAGTGCTTTTTTAGTTTTCGTACAAAATCGTACCTTCTATTATCACGATTCAAAGTAACTGTGATTGGGTGGTAACTGACTCAGATGAACGTGAATGGTCGTATTGTTACCACCCAGTCATCTGCCAAAAACTTTTGATTCGCTTGGTTTCTTATCATTTATATTATGTTTCCTGGTTTGACGAAAAATAAATTCTGAAATCTCTCTCTCTCTCTCTCGTCTCTCTTTCTCCCTCTCTCTCTCTCTCTCTCTCCTCCGCCACATGACTACACGTAGTTTCTTCAGACTATCTATAGTCATCCAAAATTATACTTCAATCATTCAAGGTTCACAACTGGATGTTACTCAGAAGATGGAAGGATGGAATACAGATGGCGTGAAGCATTTAGCTGTCCAGAATATGGAGATGTAGATTGTGTGAGTCCCGGAACCAAAACTTGGAAGACAGATGCTTTTGGATGTCAAAGATGGCAATGCGGTAGTGGAGGATATCGGGGTATGCTTTTATTACTTCTTAGTAATCTTCGATGATTTTAACAACTTCGATAGAAACAATACTCTGATATGTAACCTAATATAAGCCACTGATATATGCAAATGGCTTTTTTGTCAAAAAAAACGGATTTTTGAACTATTCCTTGAAGCACGTGACATTTATGTTCAAAACAAAAGTTTACATATAATTTATTTGAATATATATGAAATTAATCTTCACAACGCCCGTAAAAATCATTCTTGATACCAATAAGCTGTTGAGGTTATAAACTTGCAGTGGATTGTTTAAACGCCTCATAGTGTTATTATTTGGACAAGTCGTTTCTACATTAAATGCCCTCTTCGTGTATCACAGGGTAGTCAAAGGATGTTTGTAAATTGAGAGAGAATAACTTTCATGCAAAGCGTCCTAGATTACTAAAACTTCAGAGCACAATCGTACACAAACAGAAGTGTTCCAATTGTTAGTGTTCAATAAATTTTCATCCTTCATTTTCTTGAAAGTAATTGGAAAATTAAGAGGTTGTTTTATGCTGCCCTGTATTATTGTTACTCATCGATTTTAATCGGTAAGTATGTCGATAGGTATTTGTCTGTTTGTCTGTCTGTCTGTCTGTCTGTCTGTTAGATGCACGCGATATCTCACGAATACGAGATTGAATCTGCTCCAAATGTTGCATGTGCATTCATCATATGTCGGACCAGAAGCCTATTGATTTTGAATGAAATATTTCGTATAATTAGCGAGTTATCAATTAATTAGTGATGGGACACAATGTGTCACTATGAGGTAAGAGCGCTGTTTTGGAGGATCCCCTAACTTTCGATCGATAAGTCTTCGGTCTCTGACCGATATTCTCGTGTTTTCTATTTATGAACAAAACATTGGCTCTTATTACAACTTTAATGCGTTTTTCTATCATTTAGATACTCGCCAACTTGAGAAAATGTGGAAAATTCACAGCATGAAATACCAACAGATTATGAAACTCTATAACGAAGCGAAGATGGTGTGCGGAGGTGGCAGCGTAGGAGAATGCTGAAAAATAATTCAATAATTTACTAATTCGCTAATTTTATTTCTTACATCCATCCAAGTATGTAAATAGTAGGGTGATGATACAAGATTGTAGATTAATGTGTATTTTACAAGTAATTGAGATTAAGTATCGGTTGGGGTTAGACGTGACTAAAATGGCTATTGGCAGATTTATGTCTTATCATTGTACATCACTATTTTTCTGTGCGCTTGAATTCTACAAGACAAATTGGAGTGAACCCTGACTGCTATCAAAAAATTTCGAATCCTGGAACTCATGATACAAACAGAATCCTAAATTTAATATTACTGAATACCATCACAAGATTTTCCACCACATTACAATAAAGAAATCTTTTCTGATATCAAAAAATTTACATCCTGAATTAGTTTTTATTCCAATTTATTTTTTACAAACAAAATTGGCTAATGCAAATAAAAGCTCTGATTAAATGTCTTCCATTTTAGATACAACTATTCAGATTTATTATGTTTTATTTCCGTTAAACATAGATTTCACATTTGTTAAAAAAAGCTTTTATGCCAAGCGTATGGTGCGTTCTCATATTAATATGCTTCTTTCATGATTATTAATAAGTATATTTTAGCAATTATTCAAATATTTGGTTTAGTTTGTCCCTTATTTTACTTGTAGATAGAAACCATATTCAAATGCTGGGTATTGGGGTTTGTATTTTATATTCCAGCAAAATATCAAAGTTTTTGGCATTGAATTGCCTACGATGATATTTTTTACTCACTCTATTACTCCATTCTATAGAATTATAATTGTTTTTACAGTAGCATCCAGTTTGTATTGTCTATGCATTACTTTCCATACTTGCAGTATCGTAACAATAGAAATATAAAAATACCTTAGTTGCTAATATAATCAATGTATTGAGTCTTTTTTTTCGAATATGATTATCGAAACAGAGTGTTAATATTATACAGTGGTTCTCAAACTTTTAAAGTCGCGCCCTCTTTTTAGAATTGGTCAAGTCTCGCGCTCCACCTAAAAAATAAATTAGCTAACAATAAGCTACAAATAATAACAGATAGTAAAGCAAAAGTATGTTTTATTAAAAAACATTTTGAAAATATTCAGATGAAATCCCAATCTCTAAACAATAATAAAATGTAAATATTCAAAATAAAGTGGAAAAGATCAAATCGAATAATATTTTTATTTTTAACGAGCTTCAAGTCTTCTGAAAAATTGCCGGGCGCACCGTTTGAGAACTCTTTCTTTAGAAGAAGTGGTGGGATTCAAAATTTTAAGACCTTCTCTGTATCGAAATAGATAACAACGGGTTCTCTCATTTTAGGAAATGTTTGTCACAATGTTAGCTTTATTAAAATGGCTCGCACGTTTCCCACCCACGTAATAAAACAAGAGTGGGTTCTCACTAAGCGAAAATGTATACTACTGGTGGCTACAGTGTAGGCAATGTTGTTCTGACTAATAGCATGAACGGAATCAACCTCATAAAAATCTTGTTAATCGTCCGAAACTGTGTCTGTTCCTGAATTCACCATTTTTTTTTTTTGCAATATTAATGATTGCCATACTTACCAGCATCTTAAAAGCATATGTAAGAAACTACTATTAGCCGGACGCATCGGTGTCTTCCCGGTTCGTCATTGCCCACCTAATATATTACGCCTTGTGTGGACTGGGAATAGGATTTAAACCAGCGATTTTCGTCGCTAACGTAGTTAAGTCTTACTAAGTAGGCCATCATTAAAGGATTAGATACATACAGTCATAGAATACAATATTTAGTTTGGTACAATGTAAAAATACAATGTGTCAATAAGAAGCCAATTCAAAAACCTGTTCATTCAACTTGACGAAAAAAATTTTCCTGCCTCTGTTTTGTTTCCCAATTTTTCTTCATTTACCGTTTCATACTTATATTTTAAATACAAGGCAAATTGTAACACCCCAAGGTGTTACAAAGTCCCTTTACAATTTCAATTTTGTTATGAAGTCAGTTCTCAATGTATCTCAACCAGATTTGTTGTTTTTCAATCAGTAATTAATTAAATATTTTCATTTCATAATACATCTGTGAGGGCCAAAGCAAAAATGGTATCGATAACTTGGTATGGTATCGATAACCGTTTGCAATTTTAACACTTTTTCAAGACTCTAGCTATGGACATCATATACATTTATATTTTGATTAACGTTCGATATCACATTAGTGTAATGAAGCATAAAAAACATCAAATCTTAGGTTCAGAGGTAAATTAGTTGGAATTTGTTCCATGGCCACCAGGGTGAAATGAATGCTTGGTTTAAAGATTTTTTAAAGTCAACCCTAAAATATGAATTCGAAACGGCGAATATTAAAATTTAAAAAAAATTTTATTTGAAAATATGACAAAGAAAGCAATAGTTTATACGTTAGTTAAAGAGTTATATACATTTATCGGTACTCCCGTAGTATGTGAATCAAGATGGCGGACACCGGAACGTAGTATGTGTACATGATTAGAGTTAGGCCATAATTTGAGGTACAAATACTACGTGAGTCACATGGCTAGTCCCTGAACTCGTAATTCATCTAAAATATGAAAAATTGAAATAAAATTATGGCCTAACCCTAATCTGGTACAAATACTATATTCCGGTGTCCGCCATATTGGTGCACTTACCACGGGAGCGCCCATTTATCTACATTTTCTCAAAAAAGAATTGAAGGTGCCTGAGGGTAAGTCATACGCGGTTCTCTGACTTGGACAAAAAATTTCGGCAACAAACCTACTTGTTCGGTCGAAATCCATGCGGCAGTGCAATGTTGTATGTGCAATGCAAGGATTGGTATGGTTGAATAAAAAACAGCAACAGTAAGATGCACTATATGTCCAGAATATAATATATGTCCAGAACAGAACACTTAGTACAGACCACTGAGTGACCAAAATAGGATTTGTCGAATCTGATATAATTTGTATATTACGGGGTGTCCAAGTCACTGTTCATCAAGTATAATTTCATGATGATAACAGAGTGGATAACTATACTAAACGAGGGTAAAGTCTTTTTTCTTCGATATCTTTCATTTGTATGAAAACGAAAAAGAAATGCTTTCACACAAGGCTTACCAAACTGGGGTTAAAAAAAGTACACAACTTCGCAAACAAAATACCATATCTACTGTACTTTTCAGACTTTTGATTCTAAACACAATTATTAGAAAACTAGCACAAAACGACATAATACATAGGATCTGAAAAGCGGTGCGCTTGCATAACTATGCCATCTTAACATGGGTTGCAAAATTTTTAATATATTGGAAGGAAACGAGGGTAAAGTCTTAAAGATGTATTACACGAAATGGCAACAGCGACATACTAAGAGCTTGGTTCTCAAAGGACTCCATAGAGAGCCCCATGACTCCGTGACAAAAATCCTACACGAGTTATTTGTTTACTTATCAAAATACCGACTTAGTGTATTTTGAAAATGTCCGAAGAAGCGATAACGGCCTTAATAAATTTTGAAAACGGTAACGTCGGAATGTGGCAACTAGGCGGTAATTCAAATATGACATTATCTATAAGTTGTAATAAATAATCTATTTTTATAAATTTATTGTGGGGCACCGTGAATAATAGTCAACCCTTTCACGGGCTCCATGCCATCAAAAGTTCAAAAACCTCTGTGCTAAGGGATACTAGGAATAGGGTTGTTGTTAAAAGTAATATAAATATGGCTAAGGCACGCAAAAAAATGAAAACCAAAAATATACCGAATATCACATATCCAATCACGTTCTCCACGAAATTTACCAAAGCATAAAAATCTGTAACTACGACTGACAGAAACACTAAGTGCAAAAACGATAAGGCACATTCAGAATTTACATTTACGATATCATCAAGCCTTACAATTGATAAAAACATTAGTTTGTCAAAGATCACAGCTAGAACAAACATAAAATAATGATATTGTCCCCAGCATGTTGCACAAGCAACCCCTACCAAAAAGACATGGATAATGTTATTGTGATAATATATCGAACAAACAGTTTGAATCCGCTTCTCGTTGTGAGTAAATGTCGCCAATCGAGTCTTGAAATGTCGAAATGCGCCATGACCACGCCGAACAAATGAAAGATGAATTATGTATTTTCCTGGTACCAAACTTTGTAATTCCTTTTACAAGCAGTTCAGCAAACGGGATATGAAACATCTGGTCTAGATCATGGTCACTACAATAGCAAAAATTTAATCACAAGACGCAAGCGGCAACTTTTGAGCATTTCCATTTAATCAAGACGGCTTACAATGTATACCGGGATATTCGCAACAATAAGTAATTCATTTTAATACCAAGTCAAAGATGGATCACGATGCACGCCATCCTCCTGAGCCGTTTCAATAACATCAGTTACTATTTTTTATATTTAGAGAGACCCAAATTATACTCACTTAATGAGCTCAATATCCAAGAGTAATCTGAGTGTATGCCATCCCTTCCGTGCGTGGGATGAGGCGGTCCATGTGGTGGTCTATCGAATTCACGTTAAAACATGAAAAGTGGTTGTCGCTAAAATCGATTATTCATGATTCTTTGATAGTTTAATAAATACCTAATGATAAGCTGTTATTACAGAACCATTGTTCATGAATTCATTAATTTGAATTGCTTTAAGTGCTGTAAGACATTGAAAGGGGACGCTCCCGTAGTATTCGTACCAAGATGGCGCACAACCTATTAACCCTAACCTTGTACACATACCATGTTCAGGTTGTGCGCTATCGTGGTACGAATACTACGGGAGCACCGGAAAGGGGCCACGGATAATGAAAGTTTGAAAATCACAGCAATAAACTAAATATTGAGGCGATTAATTTTCATTGGAACGATGTCTCACCTACACTGTATTCAGAAATGTCTGTATGTTCAACGTCAAGTTTTATCTATAAATTATTTTCTAGCACGTATTGGAACGTTTAACTGTTTTGCTAAGTGATTCTCAATCTTTTTTCTTTCGAGGTCCATTTTTGTTGCACAAAAATTTTGTGGCCCATTAAATCTTTTAGGCAAGGGATAAAATACAAGAAAAACAAAAAACTATGTCCACAAAGATAGACACTATCACTGTATAAATCAGAATGGAAATTATCCCTCAGAATACAGCAAAATACAGCATCATCATTTATTGCCCTTACAATCGAAATTTAACCAGTAACACAAATGAAACTTTATTTATCAATAACTTTAGCAATTTTTAATGGTTTGTGGCCCACCTGGAAGTGTTGCTGTTGCCCAGCAGTGGACCACGGCCCACTGGTTGAGAACCTGTGGTTTAGTCATACCTATCATGAAAACAGGCAGATCCCGCAGCTCTTCTATCGAATTTTGAACTGCTCGAGAGAATTATAAATTTTAGTTCTCTTCTACATTATCACTTCCATTCTCTGGCGGTGACTAATTTTGTTCGCCTCTTTTACATCAAGTTGTATAAAGGGACTGAAGCGTATGGACAGGGGGTATATTCACTTGGCTAACACAGAGAGTCCCCGAACTCATAATAGAAGTTAAATAAGTAAAATAGGAATAATATTAAGGCCTAACCCTAACCTGGTACACATACTATGGGAGTACCTCCCAGGCAACCAAACTCTGCAGTTCATGTTCGCAAGAAAGCAAGTATGCTATCAATTTGACTATTGATAGAAATTACATTGCTATTTCACCCGCGTCGGCGCGTGATCTGTTTATTTGTATAATATACCAAACTGATTTGACGATTAGACAATTAGGGCCAGAGGCCTTCATTTCTAGCAAAACATGATTTTAACCCAGAAAGTATTTTCCCAGTTCCGGTGATTCCCCTGCTTTATAAGAAGCAGTGCAATTTTCCCGGCATACATCGCGCTATGTTCT